GCACCGGGAGCGGTTCCACAATCCACCGAACAATGAGGGGCGCAGAGCCCAGGTGCAGAGCAACCTGTGGCAGGTCAGGAAAGTGGATCGTCCAGCGCATGACACATGTGTACCAAATCAGTCGACGTTCAGGTTGAAACTGAAGACACCGATCAATGGATGCATGTACTGGATGTCTCAAGGCCATGATCGAATGGCTGTCGGTGCCAAGCATGAGGCCAAGTGCCAAGGTCGAATGGTGTCCCTGAGTCGGCAGCGAAACGGATTTCAGGGGCATGGACTGTAAGGGGATGCGGCCAACCTTGGGGCCATAGTGGGTGTCACGAACCCAGTTCATCAGTAGTACAGGACAGGTGCCACGATCAAAATGATTCTTAAGTGCAAAAGCCATGGTGAAGCTGGCTTTGCAATGCATGCAGCTCAAACGTCCAGCAATGCATGCAGCTCAAACGTCCAGGAAACATATCCAAGCTTGGTCTAAATGGGAACGAGCTGGGCTTATCAATTTGATGGACGGTGCGCAGATGGCTGGCAACCGCTTTACGTCCAAGATGCTCGAAACACAAAGGACATTCATGCTCTTGAATAGGGACCGGAATCTCGGTCGTCGTGGATCGAAGTCGATGGGCGATCGTGTCCGCCCCTGAGGGTCGACCCTTCTTGGCAGGCGGTGGGACATCCAAGGGCGCGGCATGAACCGTCTGCTGATGTATATGTAAGCCATTCAAATTCAAGAAGCATGCTTGACAGGTGGGGCACTTGTGGAGAGCGGCTTGAGGTCTATCTTCAGGGATTGGGCCACTGGCTTGCATCTGTTCAGCTTCCCCTCCCTCTGTCTTGGCCCGTTTCGTTGCCGGCTCAGTGGGCGGCTCGTGGGTTGAGTGCTCCGGGCCTGATGTCACGGTGGCAGACCAAGGTCGTGATCGAAGCGGCATGATAGGAAAGTGGTCAGGACTCATGACATGACCGGACATGGCTGCTAACTGGTATATGACTGCGCATGTGTGCTTCTGGAGGTCAAGACTTTTGCATTGACACATGGGGCATTGTCCTTTGCCGGAGACCAGGTTGGACAGTCCACTCACAAAATCATATTGCTGCTTTGCTGGTCCAACAAGCTCAGGATGGGAATCCGTGTAGTGTCTTATCATGGCCCTAGCATGAACTTGTAGATTACAAAAGGCACATCTGGCAGCCAGTTCCGAACATAGGGCTTGGTCCAGCATGAGGCCCATGAATGAACGATGTCTGATGTGCATTCTGAGCTCTTCCCTGGCGACAATGGGCTGAACGGTAGCCTGAGCAGCATCGAATGCATGGCAAGCACGCTTATTGATGTGATCTTTAAGTGCATAGAATGTGGTGAACTGATGTTTGCAGTGTCGACATATGGATCTCCCTTCAAATGAATCTCGCAGTGGTTGGAAAACGTCTTCAGGGAGGCACAATACCTGATGCTGTTGTCGGAGATGTTTCTTGAGCATCCCCGCCTGGGCGAAGTGTCTATGACACTCAGGGCAAGCCAGCGAGGCCTGAGGCAATGGTGGCGCGGGCGGAACAAAAGCATTCGTGTCACACTGCGGGTATGCAGGGCTAAGCGTGTAGACATCCGGATGCGGCTCTGCGGACTCCATCATATGCTGTGTTTTGAGGGCCAAAGCGGTGATCAACTTGCAATGATGTTCCGCAATGTAGGTCCATGGGGATTGAACTGCCAGTCGATGGAAGTCCGTGGTGTTTTCATGTGTGAGATGGACCGGTGAATGAGTCATGCGTCTATAATGAACATTAATCATACTGACTATGCGTTTACAGCATGAAATCGGCAGGCCCATTTCGTGTACACCATAAAGAACTGTGGGCACAACGCACTGCTGATATAAACGAAATCGAACGTGTGCTGGAATGGATTGTGCCTGGAACCATCGCTTCAGGATCGAGTAGCAGTGTTGAGCTGCTTTGACTCTTCTAGCCGTGGGGTCTGTTTCCCATGCTCTATAGCCAATGATCACACCAAGATACGCTGTTTTGGCCACCATCGGCAGTTGAAAAGGTGTGTCTGGGATCACGAGCTGAGGGCCATGTTTGGTCCGGCTGATCCAACGGCGTGTGAATTTAGAGACCCCCTTGCCTACCGCTCTGAAAAGAACAACACTCTTGGTGGAATTGATGTTGAATCCAAAGGAGCGAAAGGTATGCAGGATGTGGGCAAGGTCTCCAAGGGCGCTCGAGCCGTCCGCAATGCTGTGCAATGTCCAGCGGAGGTGGACGTCGTCTGCGTACACGATCAGGTGGTCGTGTAGCCATGTATGAGAATACCTCTGAAGGAATTCTTGCATGATTAGATACATACAAAGGGTCCAGAGGATGGGAGCATCAGTGGATCCTTATTTGATCCCTCGTGAAGAATCAATTAACCCAATCAAGGATTTGAAGGGAATGTGATACTTATGTGGGGCCAACCAAGTCTGGATCATGTGGAGAACATCCGGTGGGAGGTTGATTTGGTTCAAAGCATGGAGCACGAGGTCTCTGCGGACCGTATCAAATGCCTTTTCCATGTCCAATGAGACCTGGAGGCCTCCGAACAGTCCCTGTGGGTGTGCATCCTGTTGTCGATCACGACATAGCTGTCGAATTTGCTGGCAGTGCTATGAGACTCGAAAGAGACACTCAGTAGTGCCTCTCTGCGGGAGGTATACATAGAGTAGCAGGCTTCTAAGCGTTGGATATGCATGTTGCTTAATGAGGGTGTTTAATACCTTAGAAACTACTTTGAGTATTGGGTGCTGGAGATAGAGGGGCTTTAGGGCCGCTGGCTGAGTGCTTGATTTACCTAGTTTAGGAATCAAGTGCAACCATCCATCAAGCCAATAATTAAGTGTAAAGCTACATAAATCGGATTCGCAAGCTCCGGTACAAGGTGTTGCCAAATAATAGCGGGCATGCAAGGGGGAGCCAAAGCTTTCATCTCAAATAAGTGTAGGAGGCCCTGCGACACATCTTCACGAGTGAACGGAAGGGTTTGGAGGGGCACAACTTACGGATCTTGCGAAATCAATCATACGTCTAATAACGCATAGCCAAGTCAACACCTTCCTTAAAGAAGTCTTCCTTAAAGAAGTCTTCAAGTTTTTAGCGTTTACTCTAGCGGTTAAAATAGCGAATTTGCTTATGGCTTATCTTTAAAGGTGATATATCCGTCCCTCAAGGCCCCCTAATATATGCTCTAATAAATGAGCGCTTCAATCTATTACAACGTAAGCGTAACTCAACATGGCCGAAGCCCGACGATGCCCATGCCTCATAACATTTTGCAAGAGTGCTTAAAAGGTTTCGTTAACAGCTACTCCCATCCATCCCTAAAGCCGAATAGGTAACCCTCGCGCCGAATCCTCGTAAATCGAAAACAAAATTCGAAAAGACTAGAGGATTGTCCGGACTTAGGGACTACTCAAATACACAATCAATAGCCAAAAAAGCTTAAATTTTCAAATTCGCCATTTCAAATACGAATTTGAAATTCGGTTCCTTCGACCAATATATATTATTTTTTAATAATATAATATTTTTATTTAATATTAACGTTAAAAAAATTATCCAAAATATATAAAATCGCACCTTAAAAATATATTAATATAAATAATACAAAATATTCAATAAAATTCAATAAATAAATAAATATAATCCAAGATAAACTAATATAAACCCAAGACGAATTCAATATAATCGCAAAATAAAATAACATACATTCAAAATACATCTAATTTAACCTCCAAATAACACAACATAAATCCTAATAAAAAGAACATAAATCAAAAATACGATAATATAGAAGAAACTACAAAACGAAAATCCCGAATACATAGGAAAGACAAATATAAAAATGCAACGATAGCTACCCGAAACCTAGCTTACGATCGATCCTAAATTTAAACGCATACGCGGACCCAAAGCAACTACAAAACAAATATTAAAATTATATATCATTTCAATTTCCCTTTCCATCAATCGCAACCGTAATAAATAAACAACAATCTACAGACCCAAAATAACTACAATTCAATTGCCAAATATACAATTTCAAATTCCCTTACCTTACACATACATAATAATCCATTATAAAAAAATACGAATCCAAAATAATTACAATTCAATTACCAAATCTAATACATCAATTTTCCTTTCCGTCAGCCGCTACAATTCAATTGCCAAATATAACACTTCAATTTCCCTTTCCATCAACCAATCTAGAAATATATATAATCCTCCATAAATTTAAATCTCATTAATATTTTAAACTTAAATATATATGTTAGAAATTATATATTCATACAAACAATGCAAACAATACATTTCTTACATCATCAATCGCTCAAACATCACAAAAAATCAACTCCAACACAACCTCCAAAACTTCCATACACCCCTAAACACCACCTAATTTTGAATTTACGTAGTGCTTTTTCGGGCCACCCCCCCCCAGACCCCCTATATACTCACTTCGTTCGCCAAACACAACTCAGCTAGCGCCTTCTACGAAGGCGGGCGTTCGTATCGATATCAATATATTTATTTTTTACATTTTATAGATTTTTGTACATTAAAATTCGATTTTAATATTTTGTAATTACATACTATAATTAATACAATTATTTCTATATACAACCTATTTTATATGCAATAATTGTATACTATATACTATGTATATTTTTAAAGATGGATTCTAGATGTAATCACATATAACATCTACATGATTAAACATTAAAAAAAGATCGATGCGATATCCTATCTAGTATGGCTGATTATTTGGCAGATTATACATTTTTTGTACTTGAAAAAGGGATCACATATGTGGTTTGACTTTTGCAAACATCGGGAGCCTTTCGTTCCAAACAACTATTAAACATGCCAAACGGGGCAGTGCCACGGAAGAGGATTGATGCACATAAGAAACAACCCTTACAGGACTTGGCCCACTACTAGGAAAAGACTGAAAGATATGTAAAGTATTTTTGCTTCACCGCGCCGTTACGCCAAATGGGCGATGACTGTTGTTGGTGAACTCGAGAATTCAATTCAAGCGATCCCACCTACAGTCCAGAGATGTCTACAGTATAACTGGTTGTAAACCACACCATACACTAGCAGGTGGCCACGATCACTGTCGGACCGAGCTCCCTGGTCGCTCCCCGGCTCTCTGTCGCTCGACCGAGCTGGACAGCTCCGAATCCCACGTCACTGCCGGGCGTTGACCTACAGGCCAGCACTTTGCAGAGTGAACTATGTAAAGTCATCAAAAACAACCAACAATGCATGCACTTGGATCCTGCTTCTTTCCCACATAAGTTTCAATGTGGTTCCATGATGTTCCACGTGGTTCCATCATCATCTGCATTAGAATTTGGGATGCAACTACTGGATTCTCTGATTCTCATCGATTCTCCACATGTTTAGGTTTTGTGGCATCTTTTCAGGTGAGTTGTGTTTTCTCGTGGCCGTCTAGTTGCCTCCATCATCTTCCATCAACCCTTTGTGTATTCGCAAAACCACTCCGAAAAACACGTCTCTTCCGTCTCAACTTCGATGTCTCATGAGCCGGGCTCCTCCGGCACCGCAGCGCCCGCTGTGTGAAACCGGCATCAACTGATCCGCGCTGCTTCAGCCACACCGAGGAGAGCCAGCGTAGCCTGGCGATTTCAACCGCGGTATTTTTCCAGCTGGCTGTGGAGCAACAGCTAAGCCGCGAAAATCATGGCACGTTTAGACATTTGGGGTGAATTTCTCATTGGTGCCCTGCATTTCCTGTTTGGGGCAGTGGAAAAAAAGGGCCCTGGTCTTACTAGGTCTGGCTATTCAGGCATTAGGGACCAATGTTTCTTGGCGCCGAGAAAGAGGTTGACCCGACATTCGCTTGTGCATCTGGGCAAGGTTGCCTAGCCTACAACCACATGCTGCACTTTCTGAAGGACTGCGCAGTAGCAGTTGGCATAAGGAAGGATTTGTTCGAACCTCTCTGACGGCGTGCGGTCACAAGCCTCAGAAAGCTTGGATGTCAAAAATTAACCCTGACTTATCCTCTTTGTGTTGCCTTTCAGTCACTTCGTTGCGCTTCCCAGGTGGATTCACCAGCTTCGTTGCTCAGTACGCCGATCTGACCAAGTGCGTTTCGCGGCGGCGGAGCCGCCTGCTCCTGGGCATCTCCTTTGAGGAGTGCCACCATCGAAGCAGAGCCTCCTGCCTGGGGCTTGCTGCTGAGGCGTAGCGCACCCATGAAACCATGGGCTACGGCTACAATGTGATCGGGTCATATCACTTCCTAGAAATAGGCACAGAAATGGTTTTACGTTGTCCGAGGGGAGGCCTTTGTAAGGCCTGTGGAGTCGAACCCTGGAGGTTCGCTACCGATCTTCATCGAATGATCCTCGCCTTCGTCTAAACAAATATCTTGAACCCCTGCAGAGAGTTGACTCTCCTAAAAAGGGAGGCGGGAGGCGGGTGGGGAGTGTTTCGATCTCTCTCTCGAACTTGCGAGGTGCATCCTGCGACCCTGGAAGCAGGCGAGACTTCTAGGAGCCCATGCGCGTACGATCGCCAGCTGATTCTCCAAGTTGTCCTGGCAAGAAGGCACCACACATGGCCAGTTTTTGATCATCTCTGCTTGAAACAACTGGAACTTGCTTTAGGACACATGAGCGGAGTTTGCACGCGAACGGTAGGGCCCCCCCAAAAGAGATGCACCCATAGCTGGGATTGCACATTTCCTTAATTTTTCAGAACCACGGTGCTTGACCCACACTTGGAACAGATTTGGACACCTGGGACATGCTTTGGTTCACATGCTTTCAAACTGCTTCACCAAGCAAACGCACCGTTCAGGCGTTTGGTACCCTCCCTTCAGGACCCACGTCAGCGAACGGGACAGCCTGGGCCAAGGTCCACAACGCGACAGCAGCCTCTTCACGCACCATCGGCCTCAGACGCCAGTCGAATGGGTCAGAGGACATCCGACTTCGACTGCTTCGGGGACTTCAGAGATGAGCAAACCTGGGTCTCGAAGGCGAATGGGCCGAATGGGATTTCGAGTTGGAGAAGAACGTGGGGCCGTAGGCCCCGTAGGCCGCAGTGAAATGCATCCTTTCCCGGTGATACCCAATCGCGTGAAACCCAACTGCGTGGAACCGCAACAAAGAAGCTTGGCAACTTAGAAACCATTTACCTTCCTTATTAGTGTTTTCGAACAATCCCAAGTCTTCGAGCTCGAGTGATCCTCCTTAATAGAGCAAAGCTGAGTGCTCTACATAGCATCCTCCAACAGCTTCACCAAAGGCAGAATGGCACCGGCCTTGGCTTTTGGAACTTGCGAACACCCGGAGCTTGCCAGCACCGAAGGCTAAAGGGAACAACTGGGCGACAGATCTGCCGTGGAGGCGACGGATCTGCTGCCTTCCGCGCCGTACGACTCCTTGCGAACATCGTGATGCCCATGTTTTGGACGGCGCCCAAACCAAGAGAGGTTGAATCGCCCATATGATCCATATGTACCACAGACCAGGGTCCTATAGTTCTGGTCTCTCAACCTCTCTTGGAATACATGCAAAACTCGACTTGTGAGCCGCACAGTCTCCATGATCACACGTGGCACAAAAAAGATACACTATGAGACTATGAGCACAAAGCTATACTGTAACTGTAGACTCATAAGACTTTGTTCGCCACTATGTCAACCATGTGTTTGACCTCTGCCACATCCACTTCTTCCGCGTCAAACCCACTCACCCACTCCATCCACTTGACTCTCGGGCACCTCCGCGATCGTCTGCTGGTTCTCCGCATGCGACGATGCCAAGTTCCGCAGAGCCACGATCGCCGTGCCCTTGTCAGGGCGTGGGAGCGGTGAGCGCGTGGCGGCACGTGGCGCCGAAGACGATCACTGGCTATGGTTAAAAGCATGTTTCTTTGAAGCAATGGTGATGACAAAAAACACTAGAAATCACTCCGGAAAACTAACAGACTCAGTCAACATAACAAATAGAGGCACTCTAGTGGGGTGCTATGTTAGGAACTGGAGGAGGCAAGGGCTCATCCAAAGACGCAATTTGCCACAGGCTACTGGCCAAAGCTGCGTCCCGGGTTCAGTTTGCTCCGCACATCTCATGACCAAGATGATATGCAAAAACACACATGAAGAAGATACAGGCTAGCCACCAAAAACGCCTGGCTTTGCAAAGTTGAGCCGGTGATGCACACCCCTCATCAACTGCCAACAAAGGTATGTTTGTGAGGACCGACAAACCCTCAAAAGAGCACACGTGAAAGCTCTTTTTTGTTACCTGCAAGAACTGTTGGACGCTTTTTGAGAATCTCACTTCATCTTCCTCAAAATACTGTGGCCATCGGGCCATCGGACATGTCAGAACTCACCAGAACTGCGACTGTTCTTCTTTGCCCTTGCCCTTGCCCCTTGCCATGAGATGCAACGTGGCTGCCTTCATCATGTCCCCGTGCAGCCGTTCGACCAAGGGCGAAACCGCCCCCGCGCGGACGATGGCGGCCTGTCAGGCGCGGCGAGAGTCGTTCGGCGAGAGTCGCGGCTGTCGTTGGTCGTTTCTAGATGAGTAGCATTTAAATGCATTTTTGGCGTATACTAGTTTGGGAGTGCTTCCAAACAAACCCATTCTTCTCCACTCGCAAGTGATTGGTGATCTCTCTGAAAATTGTACTGTATATAATTAGTCGGATAATGTCGGATATACCATAATATATCACATCGTGCTGACTCAAAGATGGAGGCACACATCTGATTCTTGATTCTTCAGTGCAAATGGACTGCTCAAACCCTGAAAGCAGTTGAAGCCACCTCAACTTCTACTTCTTCAAGCATTGACCCTTTGATGGAAATCCACATCAAAAGAGACTGTCCCACAAGTCCAAGGCTTCCTGCGGCTTTGAGGCTTCCAAGCCACTCAGACGTCAGACATCCAAGGCGAACCAGACATCCGTTCGTCCAACCCAGTCGAAGCATCCATTTCACGATGGGCCGAACCACTTGGGCCGAACCCCCGACAAAGCGCTGACCAACCGCTGGTTGTTACCGAGACCAAAGCAGATTCCATGGATTGACGTGCATTTTGTTTGATCTTTTGGCTGACGATTTCAATTGGAAGGTCCCAAAGCTGGATGTCTCAAATCATTCTCCCTGAGTGATGTCCCTCCTTACCCAAGACTGCTCGCGCAAGGTGCGAAATTCGGGAGCTTTTGGTGTCTACCCCCCGGTCCGGCTGGTCAAGCATCTCCGGGTGAATCGACGTCACATCAACAGCCTACGGAATCGCACGATCCTTTGTCTGGATGTTCGGTTGTTTTGGCTGTTGTTTCTTTGGGTTTGTTGGTACATCAACGCGCGCGCTCTAGCCCGCTAGCCCGCTAGGCAGAATCTTGATGTGCCATTTGCAATGGGGCTGTGGGTCAACACCGGGGTACCTTGGTTGACCAAAGAGAATGAACAGAATGGACCACCTGGATCAATCTACCCTGGTTTGGGGATCCGGGTTTTGACCCTACTAGAGGTTCATAGGGTTTCCTGCATGATTGCATTTCTAGGGCTACATGTTTTGGGCGGTGGGGGAAGGTCGTGGGGCGATTTTCTTTCTTTGTCACCCAAATCTGTAGCCTCCACAAAGAGGCTTCAGAATAGATCGCACAACCCTCTGGAGCATTTCGAGATGTGCATCCGTAGACAACTCTGAAACTACTGTAGGACCGAGAGCCCCAATATTCTGGGAACTTCTTTGACAACCAGTGTGCACTCTGCATGGCATCTCGATGCACGTCGTACATCTATGTACATCTGTACCCAAAGCCACGGGGTTGATAGCCCTAGCCAGGCTTTTGAAAGAGTTTCCTTCATGAAGTAGGGCGAAAACGTCGTTGTACTGTACTGGTGGTCAATGGATCAGTGTATTTGTTTCCCGAATTTCTGGTGGTTCGTTCTGCGTCCGAATTCTTCCAGCCTGCAGAGCGTTCGGCACCTACTCTCTTCTTTGTGTTTTTTCAACGCGCAAACGTCCAAAGCAGTGGCGGTTTTCACCGACGTCCTCCCTCTCCACGTTCCGCTGGCCTGGATGCCTTCCGAGTGCGCAGCCAAGGCACCCAGGGTGGAGGCAGCCTGTGCGGACATCGGGTGATGGCCAGCAGCCATGAGGGTGGTCCTACATGGGGTTTAGGTCCTCCAAGTTCAGCACCCGAACGGGGCATTGCGCGGTACCGGCACGAAGCCTGCGTAGGGAGGAGTCCTGCTCGTTTTCAATTTTTTGTGTAAAGGAAAAGTTGCAAAGGAAGGGTTCTTAGGTTCCTCTACCGGATTGAGGGTTTTGAAACTCGTATCACCAACTGCCTAAGCTCGAGGAAAGCTAGGGGGCTACAGAAACTCTGATCTGATCAAGATCTCCATGATGCCTTGTATTTGCAACAGGCTAACCAGCAAAGCGCTGTTCTGAACGAGCAGAGCGGCATTGAACGTAAACCTCTTCTGCATCCGAATCCGCACACCATGCTTTCGATTCTCCGTCGCCACACAAAGGGTCCGGACAGTCCGAACAGGTATGGGTATGTATGGGTAGTATGGAGGTCGTGGCGGCCGTGGCAGTCGTGGGGTCTTGCAGCATGCCAAAGACCTTTCGAGGCTCCAGGGTGGCTTCCGAACTAAAACCACCTTCTCCCGTTACTTCCTCCCACCTCCTCCACCGTTCCTGTTTATTCTTTCTGAGTCACTCGCAAACCCATGGTGCAAAGAGCAAGACTAGGAAAATCTGAAACCGGACGGAACATGTTGGACATATTGGTCCAATGCCACCAGTCAAACCAAAAAGAACGCTAAGACTAAGAAGCTGCCGTGTCTGCCTGTATGTAGTGACATAGTTACAAGCCACACATCTTGACAACAGAAATCACAACATGTGCCGGAGAAGTGTAAATGTCAATCCATGCCAATCCTATTACTTGGGTGTATATTAAAATAGGGAGACCTCCCAGGCGTTCCGACCCCCAGTCGTAGAAGGGAAATAGACCAGTAGACCCATTGGGCCAGGGTGCCTTGCTTTTTTTGTTTAATGGTTTACACACCCACTGGTTGTGAGGAACACCAGCCTTTAGGTGGCGGCAGGTAGCTCTGATTTAGCAAGTAAACTTGATGAACAAAACACATATATCCCCAAGTTGATCACTTTGGCGTGACAATCATGATCAAGGGCATTTAATTGCCTTTTTGACCCCTTTTGGAGGTGCCCCAATGTTTCAGGTTCCTTCCTCAAAGAACCTCAACCTTTCAGTAAGGTCACCATGCCAGCACTTCGGACAGATAAGACCCAGCCTGCTCCTGAGCCAGCAAGGTCTTCCCGCGCAATAGGGCCACCAGGGGCGGCACAGCTCCCATGAGGGCTGAGCTGTCCTGGACGGCGACGGAGAGTTGCACAAGGTCTCCCCACTTACAAACAACTATAGACTATAGACAAAGTGCTTCAAATCGCTGGGTCACCACGTAGCCTAAGATTGAATTGGAGTATTCGCCTGACGGTTTTCCTCCCAGCTTCTCACCTGCTCCTCTGCACCGCTGGCCAGGCTCTTCAGAAGGCTTGCAGCCATCACCAAGGCTGGAGCCTGCAACACCGGACGTCAGCCACCCAAGCAACCTTCTTCCTATGTCGTCATATTCTGCACGCTGGCCACTCCACTGTTTAAAGTGGGCCACCCTCAGACCGCTTAAGACTAGAAGATTTTCCTCTTTCCAACATCGGCTCGGGTGTCCATCTTTGAGTCTTTGAGTGCACTCAACTAGAAAGGGTTGGGGAACCTTTGAACAGCTCCCTGTCTTATGGGGAAGAACCTGCCTCCCGGAGCTGCTCTTGCCGTCCCTCCCTCCGAATCGCACCAGCCGAGCCGTCAAATGATGCATTTATCCCACACTCCGTGGGATGGCACCCGAAACACACACGCACTCGTGTCCATGTCCCACACACAACTTCCCATCCACACCCCGATGGCCTCGTCACGTTTCAGGATCCGTACCAAGGGATCGATGGCGCCTGGCAGATCGAGTTCTGGAAGTTCGACCCAAAAGGATGCCGAACAAACGCGTATTGCAAGGGCAGCATAGCGCAGCTATGCCTATATTTATCATTACTTGTCCATTCAACATCATGGAACCATGTGGAACAATATAGAACCATTGTGCGGAATCTCGCTTGGGATGCAAAAAACACCTAGAAAAACAACAGCACAACATGGAGCTAGGCTCCTTTGAAAGCAGATTCCTCAGCTTAGGAATTTAAATCGTGTATCAGAACATGGACTTTCACAACTACCCTGAAACCCTAGTCTTTCTTCAGCCGAACCAAGATATTTTGAACAGCATTCGACATTTTCGACATGGATTCCCTTTTTAAGATTGACCGATCAGATCGACCAAAGGAACGATGAATTCAATTCAGCGGTTGTCCATCGGGTCTTGCTGGGGAACTGCCGAGAAGCACCGGTGGTCACGAGTGTGTGGCATCAGCATGCGTGAGTCGCAACTGGGTTGTCCCCCGATCTATGACAGGGATTGGAACTTTCCACGCCAAAAAGCTGTCATCAGTGCCACACCAAAAACATTGATTGGCTCATATTGGCTCTCAGTTAACATCAGTTTTATCTGGGCATCTTCCGTCTGAGTCGACCGAAAGAAACGGCCTCCTTGGGTAATCGCCACTTGGTTGTCGACGTTGTCAGCAGCCAAGTCATTCCTTAAGCTATTGAGCTCAGCTGAAAGCGATCAGGTTTCGATTCCCAGATTCCGACGGAGCCCAGATCTGTTTGTTTCTAGTGTTTCTTTTGTCTGACATCCAGCAAACAAATCATTTAGGGCCCCATATCTGCAACCTGTTCACCACCTTCTCGGAGTGATCTGTTTGTTCCCCATAGCTGGAAGCTTCAGGGGTTCTTACTTCTCAATGGATGGGTTCCTGATTGCGGAAATTGGCTGCCGCTGCCGGCTTGTCTCCCAAGCTTGTCTCCCTTCATGATTTCACTTTTGGCTGCCGCTGCCGCCTTTCATGACTTTGCTCTTGGCTGCCGCCGCCGCCTTCTTCCTCAAGCTTGTCTCCCTTCATGACTTCGCTTGCCGCTGGCGCCTTGTCTCCCAAGATTGTCTCCCTTGATGATTCCGTTCTTGGCTGCCGCTGCCGCCTTGTCTCCCAAGCTTGTCTCCCTTCATGATTTCGCTCTTGGCTGCCGCTGCCGCCTTGTCTCCCAAGCTTGTCTCCATTCATGATGTCTTTTGGCTGCCACCTTGTCTCCCTTCATGATTTCGCTCTTGGCTCCCGCTGCCGCCTTGTCTCCCAATCTTGTCTCCCTTCATGATTTCGCTCTTGGCTCCCACTGCCGGCTTGTCTCCCAATCTTGTCTCCCTTCATGATTTCGTTCTTAGCTGCCGCTGCCGCCTTGTCTCCCAAGCGTGTCTCCCTTCATGATTTCGCTTTTGGCTGCCGCTGCCGCCTTGTCTCCCAAGCTTATCTCGCTTCATGATTCGCTCTTGGCTGCCGGTGCTGTCTTGTTTTTCAAGCTTGTCCCCCTTCATAGTTTCGCTCTTGGCCGCCGCTGCCGCCTTGTCTCCCAAGCTTGTCTCCCTTCATGAATTCGCTCTTTGCTCCCACTGCCGGCTTGTCTCCCAATCTTGTCTCCCTTCATGATTTCGCTCTTAGCTGCCGCTGCCGGCTTGTCTCCCAAGCTTGTCTCCCTTCATGATTTCGCTTTTGGCTGCCGCTGCCGCCTTGTCTCCCAAGCTTGTCTCGCTTCATGATTTCGCTCTTGGCTGCCGGTGCCGTCTTGTTTTTCAAGCTTGTCTCCCTTCATAATTTCGCTCTTGGCCGCCGCTGCCAGCTTGTCTCCCAAGCTTGTTTCCCTTCATGAATTCGCTTGTCCCCCAAGTTATTGAGTGGCAGCTTTATCTCGAAGAGAACGCCGAATCTGTGCAACTCGTTACATAGGACTTGAAAGAGGCGACGAAGGCCAAGTCGACTCAGCAGATATGTTTGCTTTTGTAATTTCCTCTTTTCATCATCTACCAGTCTACAACCAATTCCTGACGCTTCGCATCAACCGCCGCCCTCCAGTCCGAGGTAAGCATGGGATGCTTCTTGCAACTGTTCGAATGGGAGAGAACTCCCAGCGCGTTCGAACGCAAAAGAGCTCTTGCCATGGTGTCTAACTTTTCTTGAAATGCTATCTGGGGTCTATGCCGGTATAATTTGGATCAAACCTAGCAAGTTCCAAACACATGCGAACAAGTTCCTAGTCATTCCACATCCTTTCGCCCACCTTGTTCCCAAGTGCTGACAAACAAACATCGAAGATCGTCTCATCCTCACGTTCAAATGTCATGTCTAAAGGCATATTCCAAGACCAAACCCTTTGGCAAATTCAATTAGTGCGGCGCATTTTTCCTAGCGTTCGGTTCAAAAACATTAAAGAACCATTCCCCACGCCCGTTCCATCACTGACGGCCCCCCACAAGACTGCAGCTGCCACCACTCGGATCTGCCAAGAACGCAACACATTTCTTAGGTTTACTGTGCCGTGGTGTGGCCTGGTGAACGCTTGGCTGCTACTGGTCCCTATTGTCCCTGTGGTAACTTTTCTGACACCTCGCTTGGCTGAATATTCTTCAGACTGATCCATCCATCCATCCATCCATCCAGATGTCTGATCACACCGCGCCTGATACACACTTGATTACAATTCTCAATGCCAAACATGATGCACGAATATGCTAGACAGGCAAGACATGTTATTACCGTTTGAAAGCAATCCTTGCATCATGGGCAAGTACACAATCATCCATGGTTGAGTTGTTGCAAATTTCTAGATCACTCAAAACCCAAAACATGTGCATCTCAATCGATATCTATATGTATATTATACAATATTATACATATATAGACAATAGTTGCAACACAACTGCCTCCTGGCTAAAGCTCTAAGTGCTTGCTGAGCAATGGCCTAGTAACTAGATGAGCCGCTTCGGCAGATTCCGGATTTGAACCAGCGTCTCTTCGGGGTCCGTCCTCTTTTCCAAAGCCGAGCTTTGTCCTTTTCCCGCCAGCCGCCACGCGTGCGCCCAACGGATGACACGAACGACCCGTTATCGGTCCACCGGCGGACCCTCTGCTCTTGATCCTCCAGCAGCCGGATCAGCGGAAGGATCGCCCCGGCTCGGCCAATGGCCACCTGGGTCGACGAGAGCGGTGGACTGGAGGTGTGTGGGGAGAGGGATCCTCGACATACCCACCCATATGCAAGATAGTATGGTACGGCCATTTTTCTGGGGAAATCTACACTTGGACTTCTCAGGTCAGTTGTTTTAGCGTACTCCTCAGGAGCTGCTGCTGATGCATCTTTGACTTAGTCAAACACCATCGCCAGCGCAGCTGATGTAGTGATCTGTCGTTGATGCTCTTTGATGCTAGAAGAACCTTTGTCAAACATATTCAACAAAATCAACAAACACATCCATGGGTCTTGAGATGTTGGGAGTATGTTGGAGTCTCCAGCTGTCAGAAAACTCCACCGAACTGAGGTCCGCAGACTTCTGGGCACCTGAGTATCTTCCGTGCGGGTCGCCGGGTTGCAACCCCACCCAACATCCCCTGAACTCTGCGTTGACATCAGTTCGGGCCCGAGTCCTGCCCTCCCACATCTTCCTGGACCTTGGGCGTTGGAATTGGAGGGTGAACCCACCCTGCAGTGTCACATAGGGATAAGCCGTTTATAGGGCTTCCCTACCTTCCCTGTTTTGCATCCCGCTTCCCCCCTTCCATTCGTCGACCGGTGGGTCGGTTTGCCCACTTCGCCTGATTCGGTGCGTTGATCTCCTGGCGATTGCTCACATGGAGATGCACCCGACCCACATGAGAAATGATTTACTCTCACTCACGTGCAATGAGAAGATTGGGAAGCTTTGCAAAAGGCAACAGGTCTACATGGTCTATATGGTCTACTTCCCCATCCTTCCATATTGGTCGGAGTAGCTCATCCTCAAACGCCCATTGCCTCAATGGGCGTTCTCAGGAGCCCTCCGTAATTGCCGGTGTTTGCCGGCGGATGAAGTCCGACGATGGTCAAACAATGGTTGAGGTATTGAATGGTATTGACATGTATTGAATACTCGATTTTTGCATCTGTTCAACTGCAGTGAGCCGACTTATTTGAGTCTTCACCACCGGGCCTTGCTGTTCCGTGCCAGGTTCCACAAGGCCCGCGCGGCCTCTTCTCGCAGGCCCGGCCTCCGGGGATCGAAGCAGTACCCAACAAAAAGCACCAAGGAAGCACCAGACGTTCTGATGGAGTTTGTAGTGTTCCAAGGCTATTAAGGCTTGATGTGGCATCTCCACTCGCATTCTCATACGAACTGCGGGACTCCGTTTCTCACCAAGATGTGGACAGCTATCTCAGGCAATGTGAGTTGGAGTGGACCCTTCCTTGTAGCATAGTGTTGGTGCAAAATTAGGTATATAGTCCTAGCTTTGTTTCTTGGGAGGACACCTTCAAATGAATGGTCCCTCCTCCAGCTCCAAACATGCTGCATCCGAAGAGGAGCCCATTCATATCTTCCACGCTCCAAGTGGCTTGCTACGTTAGTTGAGGCTTGGCTCGAGTAAACAAACACAAACACTGGCAGGGGCACCCTGGTAAAAGACGATCTTAGCTACGTACATTCAGTATTGATACCGGTCAAACTTTGAAAGCTCACATGTTCAACACCCTAGGTGGATTTGGAAGCACCAAGCGGTCTCCGCAACTTCTTTCCCTGACAATCCTGACACTGCCCATATCAGTGTGAATTAGAATAGGGGGACGGGGACCTCCCAGTTCGAACCCCCTGGAAGAAGGGAAATTGCTTGGGGGTCTCAATTGAAAACGAAAACACACCAAATCTATCCGAAAAATCACCAGGCTTTCCACCTTCTACGTCTCTGTCCTCTTGGTGGTCTCTGTGCCGCCGGGAGACGTCTCATGCTGAAGGAGGCGGACGAAGTGAGGCAGCGCACCCGAACGGACGAGGGCAGCCTGAAGCACCGATCCACGACGAAAACATCATCTAGGCCCAGCCCCCCCCAAAAACATGCACTTGAACACATGGGTGTAAAATTCATCCGATTTTGACGTCTCCATTTTGGCCCTGCCTAAAGTTAAAGGCACAGTCCCTTGAACTCTCCGACTGTTCAGGCCAGAACTTGATTATAGCGTCTGCCAAAAGGTCAAAGTAGAGGATATGATTCAGCAAGGTTCTCGCTTTTGAAGGGGGCCAACCCTCGCTTTTGCGGCTCAAACAGCCCAATTCCATCCAATTCCACGACCGTTCTCGTTCATACCACGTCCGTCCGTTGCACGTGCTGATCTCCACCCAGTGGGCAGTTGCTGATCGACCACTTCTTCCACCGATCCGCCTCGCGTGGGACTGCCTCCCTCCCTCCCCGGTGGGATCCGACCGCGCTCCGCGCTCCGCGCTCCGCCTGGTTGTCCGAATGCTCCGCGGCGAAGATGCGGAGCCTGGCCGGTCGCGGCGGACCGAACGAGCTCCGAGCGAAAGCTCAGTTGAGGTGTCCGACGCGTCCGAATCGATGGGTTTTGGATTTTGGACGGCCCAGGGTGGAGTCAAATGCAGCTTTTTCTTACAAAAGATCACTAAGTTGTGGAAGTTCTGGGCAGTTTTACTTTTTCCCGAATGCGTAGCGAAGGGTTCTCGTTTAACTCTTGGGGGTCTGGGGGTAGAGCCTTGTTCGTGACCCGTTGGTTCTAAGTTCGCAACCGTCCGCAACCGTCCGCAACCGTCCGCATTCGTTCGCAACCGTTCGCAACCGTCCGCAACCGTTCGCAGTAGGACGCTAAGGCGCTGCCATTGGGGGAAGCTTTTGCAAGTGACTTTTCATGGATGTGTCACGTGTCAGTTTGCGACGCTATTCCATTGTGATTTGCATGAAAATGACATGTCGCGCAAGAAGCGTGATGCATTTCGCTGCACAGGCGCAGTGGTTTGAGAGATCCGCAGTTTACTGCGCAGTTCCATTGGGATTAGCGTTTGGAGAGTCGTGTTTTTGGGGTGTTGGATGTGGCCGTGCCATTGGGATTTGCGTTTCAGGGTGTGGCATTGAAGCTCTGTTTTCGTGACAAGTCTCAGCTGAAATGGCGATTTTGGTGGATGGGAGTGTGCTCAGAACGGGTCGAAATCATTCTAAACGTGTGGTGTGGTGCAAATTTTGTTGAAGCTCACGTGAGATGATCTTCTCACTTTTCGTGGCAGGCACAGTACTTTGTGCTGATTTTGAGGTGTGGAAGTGCGATTTTCGTGGCAGGCGCAGGAAATCGTGAGGTTGCGAGGTGTGAGGGAGGTGACATTTCGTGGCAGGCGCAGTACTTTGTGCGCGTTAGACGTGTGGATGCGGAGAGATTCGTGGCAGGCGCAGGGAATCGTGAGGTCGTGAGTTGTGGTAGAGGTGAATGTCGCTGTCACATTGGGATTGGCGTGTGAGCGGGTGTTGTTTGGAGGGGCTGGACTCGCGAAACTGCTTGGCAGGGCTGCGTGATGTGTGTGCTCCGATGGGTGTTTCCGCTTGACTTTTGGAGGAAGTCTCGTACGAAATCCTCGTTTTGCAGACTTTGACATGTGAGTTTTGGAGGAAGTCTCGTACGAAACGCTCGTTTTGGAGACTTGACAC